CAAACTGATTTTAGACCTATGGCTTCTTCGGCAAATTTGCTTAGAATTACACGTAGAAATCGCCTATGCTCAACGCGCATAGTAAAAAAAAACATTGAGCCGATCTAATATATGTACATATGTAATATAAGCATATATGCATAGAAAAATTTGCGTAGCACGTTTGATAGATACGTATCCACATAATAAGTATGCATACATGGACTTACATACTTATAAAAATTAATCAGCACATGAATTCGTATGTACACATGTATAAATAGTGGGATTCATGAAACGTCGCAAAGTTCTCGCAAATGTCGCGAAATTTGCCACCTTGCGACAGCTACGACAGCGACTTTTGTATGGAAACTTTCTTGCGAAATTGCCATAGTATTTGAGCGGCAGTCATTGCAAGGTCAAAGTCGCGAAACACATGTTTTTTATTGTCTTCAAATACTTCAAAAAGAATGATATCAGTTAAGGCTGCTTCGAAATATAATTGTAAAAAATTTTATTCTGCTCTAACGCGCCGCATTTCAAAAAAATTGTAAATTTGTAAGCCGAAGTTGCGATAGCTCGTTTTCGCCAAAAATGCCACTTCGCGACGTTTTATGAATCACACTAATGAGTTATTGAGTAGTTGTAATTTAAAAATTTTCAACTGCAAATTGTCAAAACAAATTTACAATCTAGTAAGTATAACTACGAGCATGTGGACTAGGGTTGTCCAAAAATACAAGCGAGAAAAAAGTTTAAAATATTCAACTCATCATCCCCTGGTTAGCTTCTGGATTTAAAGAGTGTATATTAGGGTGGTCGAAAACAATTTTAATATGTTAAGCTCTTACCGAAAAGGGTTTTTTTTTAATGGAAAATAAGAATAACGGTATTTTTTTGTTTAAATAAAAGAAGCTATTTCAAACCCATTGGGGTGTCCATATATTTTATATGTCAAAAAGAAACATTTTCGTAGACATTGTATAAAATTCCTTTCGATCGGAAAACTCTGTTTCTCTTTAGAAGACTTCCAATAACAAAAGTACTTTCTAGTCTGCAATGTGAGAGACTGCGTCATAATTATTTCTAAGGGAATCTGAATCAAAAATCATACATACGAAATAAAAAGGAATAAAGAGTTCAGCACGGAAAGCATCAGGTGAAAATACATGCAGCTTTTTATGTGTATGTAGAAAATACTAAAGAGTGCTGCATCCCGAACCCATTAAGTATTTCTTTGCTCAATGCTTTGCGTCTCTGAATATAAGAGTAGCGTTGATTTTTCAATTCACTAGTCTTACTTCATTAAAGTGTTTGCAAAGTTTTCAAAACACGTACGCAGAAGTGTGACGGGTAAACAAAATTCATAATCAAACAAACATAGTCAACCAGCAACTGAGTTGGAAGGGAAGTGGGAAGGGGGGTAGGGAATCCAACTCGCATACGTAAACAGACAACATCGCTTTTCGGCCATAAATTAAGCGCAATCGTGTTTGTTTAATGCGTCCTTGGCAAGTGTCAAGCGCAGCAGCAACAGCAGCAACATCAACAGCGGCAAGTGGTTAAGCAAAAGCTGGATAAGTCAATGTTAAGGCACTTTTGTGCTTCATACTACTTACTGCGCACATATTAATAAGCATCTAAGTATGCGTAGTACAAACATACTTATGTATTTGATTATGTGCATATGTATTATATAAACGCTTGTATATTTAGAACACTCCCAACCGGCACATGTTTGTCGAATTAGCGTCTGTGTAGTGCGTAGAGTCAATAAACTGTAAAGCTCCTACGGCGCAACGCCCACAAAATTATAATAAAGGTGATATCAAGTTAGTTAATTAAACGGATATATTTTAGTGCAAGTTATTCACTTTTATTTAAACTTTAGTAACATTTTGCAGCTAATGAATTCAGTTGATAAAGAATACATATGTACATGCTTATGTTGAAAATTATGAACATATACAAATACATTTACCTTAGTTACTAGTGCCTTTTCGTAATGTATTACAATTCGAGCCCTAACCGGAAAAAGATGTAAGCGACATTTTTTCAAAATTTTTTTTTTTTTGATGCAGGAATGTTTCTAGTAGAGCATCTAGATGCATTTTTGCACCAAAAATAGAATAAGTCGCTTACATCTTTGGTTTTGTCATTATTATTATTTATTTTTTTGACTCTTCTTCTGAGAATACACGAATGCATATTTTTTGTTTTACTGCATCAAAAAAAAACATTCGACAAAATATATATATCATTTCATTTTTACTTGCGATTTTAAAGTTTACACAATTTTGTCCAAGAAGCAACATCCGCTTTTTTTCAAACAAATAAAAAAACAATAAATATACCCGAACAACATTTTTGCACTTGAAATTCAAATAGCAGCACAAACATGCGCGCAAATGTAAGCATAATTTTGGTTGTTTTTATTTACTTTACTTTTTATTTCATTTTTCACCTTTAAGTCAGCTTTACTTCTTTCGATTTGTCGATCACGTACGCGCACATGCCGCAACCTTTACAAATTTCTTCCTTGTTAGTGTATGGATGCACGTGGCAAAATTAAAAAATTCAAAACCAAGATGTTTACGTGAGCTCATGTACATACATACATATGTATATTCTTACATATTGTATATGTACATGTATGTATATAAGCATAAGATTTATGCGCAAAGTAATATGAAACATGCGTTGCTACATTTGCACGTACATATTTGATTGGTTACATATGTACATAAATATATATTGTACGTGCATACATATGTCTAGGCATTTGATTTATTGCTGCGCGTAATAAGTTCCTAATAAAATTTAAATAAATAAAATCAAAAACAAATTTTCCTTCCTTTGCATTTCTTAAATCTTAATGCCTTTCCGCATACGAAAATGATATATCTTACTTATTTAATAATACATATGGGAATATATTTGCATATAGAAACACGCCTCTTCTATGCGATTGCAATAAAGTAATGCTTGAATGCGTTTTATAACGCAAGTATGTGCATAGATATATGTACATACATAGATTGTACATAGTATGTGTATGTATGCTTATAAGTACCCAGTCGGAAAAGTAGTAATGCATTACATTCGTGATAAATAATATAATGTATTTTTTATGCGACCTCGATAATATTACTGCTATGTAATCAGCATTCTAATGTGTTCAAAAAGTTCCGAAAATTTCATATTAAAACACATTCATTTCTCGATACTAGGTAATGCAAAATTGAATGTCCCACTTTTCTTAGGGCATCGCCCTGGAAAAAAATGCATTTTCGAATGTGAAAAGGGTTGTTTTACTGATTATTTTTTCGATTACTATACGCCACATTTTCCCGCCGGGTGTTTTGTGTGTTCGCTCGAAAATTGTTTACCCCGCCAGATGTTGCGTATACGCCCTGCCATGCCTGTGTCGATTGTAAATGAGGAAATAAAAATTTCCTCTATTGCTTACGCTCTTGCTGATTATGTGGGTGGAAAAAGTATATTTATGTATAAAATATATACATCTACAAACTCTTAAAAAAAAATTTAAGTAATAAAATTTATTCGTGTAAGGCAAATGCAGGTTCGCATAGGCAAGTGATGATTAAGTATGCAAAGGCGTGTTTGTTTGTGTATTGGCGAATGTATGAAGGGAAAGAATTATATTCGATTTAAACTTGCTGAGTTATTTGATTTGTGGGTAAAAGTATTTGAGAGCGATTGACTTGATATGGCTTAAGCGGTGCGGCTATAAAGAGTCGAAAACTAGATTTGTACTGGATAATTACATTCACGGCATGCAAAATGCTTGATTTGCGAACAGTCAGAGGTATTCAGTTGGAAAAGAGCTTAGATTGGGCACAAAGACTTTTACACTTTCATGCGATATTTGGGAAATTTTTACTAATGGTTTAACGTTTTTTTAGTCTTAGCGCCAAAGTTGATGTTAAGTTTATAAAAAAGTTTTTTGCTGGAAAGCTTTAAAGTATTTTTAGAATTTTTTATTATGAAAAAATGTGGCAACTCTATTTAATAAAATTTATGTAATTATGGGAACTCTATTCATGAACATTTGTTACTATAAGTCAAAGTCATCAAGCAAAATGATGTCAATAAGTATTTCTTAATTAACGAAATAAAACACCAGTTTCGAAAACCAGGTGGCAACATTACCTTTAAGTTGTCACGGGGTACTCGCAATAGATTAACATTTTTCTTAATACTGGTGTATAAATATGTACATAGGACATACATATGTATGCAGGTATAGCTTTTTTATTTTTTGATCAAATTTTATATGTATGGCAACTCTGCTCGTATTTTTTGAATATCAAAGCTATTACTTTTCATGTAGTCTTCTTCTTATCGTTTCTTCTTTTGGACCGTAGTAAATAAGTAGCACTTGGCAACCCTGCGCGTAACTTGCAAAAATTCTATCAAGGAAAAAAATTAAATTTAAATAAATTCTGTATATATTTTCATAGTAACTATGTGCAAACAAACATTTGCCAAGTTAAGTTGGCTGATTGCCTGTTCCCTTGGTCGGTGGACAAGCCACACACACACAGGCATACACAGAGCAATGCGTACAAATTTACTTTTGGTACACCGCACATGAACGACGACGACAGCTGCAATTGTCATAATTTGTATGCGGAAGCAAAGATTTTATTTACGGATTAAGTTTACTTTTTATGAAGTTTATGATTTATGCCAGCAATATATGAGGTAAGCTTAAAGCGCCGACTATGCGGCCGCAAGCGCGTACACGTGTCAGTGATTAGTTTTTAGGTCGAGTTGACTACAAATCAGTCTGAGCTTTAGTGTTGGCAAAACCACCAACTCCACGTGTCCTCTTACAAGGCCGCGTGGCATGCGCTTCGCATTTTTGATTAGTAAAAATTTTTTTAACGCGCCGAAATCTTCAACCGCCTTTTCTTAAACTTTACATGCTTAATATTCGCTTTTCGCCCTGGTGATCTTAAACTAACAAGATCTTCTTTTTTTTCTTCTTCTTACAGAAAACTTGTTGGCAACACGCCACAACCCAGCACATCGTAACAGCACCTCTAGCGATGCTGCTGCCAGCGACGACCTCAACTCCAGCTCGAGCAATGAAGATTTGAGCGCCGTCTACAATGTCATGTCGCAGCCCGACAAGAAATCTGGCAAGGCACGCAGAAATCGTCAGCAACGTCGCCGCAAGCATCACGACGAACAAACTGGCGACCAACTTCAGCCCATTCCCATGGACGTCGACGAGGATAGCAAGGAAAATCGACGTCCTGCACAGCACCAGCCGCAACAGCAGCAACAACAGTCGGCTAAGACGACTAGCGTCAATTTGCGTAAGCAATGCACCAAAGCTGCTGCATTGAAGGCGGTCAACCAGCACAACAACAACAATGCCGGCAATAGCGTGAACAGCAGTAGCAATATTGCAATGCCCAATAGTAGCGCGCATGCGCTCACCAACTCACCGTCCAACACTTCAGTGTGCAGTGCACTCTCGTTGGCTTCATCCACATACTCACTCTCATCGTCATCGTCATCATCGCTGTCGTCGAGCACATCATCTGCCTCGAGTTCGCCCACCAATTCGGCGAATTGCTCGCCAACTGCCTCACCTACCGCCAGCAAGCGCAATACGGAGAGTTTCCGCAAAATTGCACGCGCGCTTGCCCCGCCACTGCGTCAGCACACCAAGTTGAATATGTCGGAGACCGAGTTGGTGCAACATTTGCGGCGCTACATCATCGATCCGAATTTGTTACGCGTCTATGGCTACCCGGTTGAGAGCGCCATACACGAAGGTTGCATCGAGATCTACAAATGTCTGCCACGCCCCTCCGGCGTACACACACACCACCTTTCAACTAAGACGGACATCGTTAATACAACCGATGGCCTGCAGTTGCGCATCTCCAACACCAGCAGCAGTTACACCGCATCCTTCAACACTACCAGCAGCAGCGTCGAAGCACAATGGACACTCGGCAGCGACAACTCGGCCGACTCCGGTCAGGGTTCGGGGGATTCCAGCCCACCTTCAATGGATTCGGACTCCAGCGAAGCTGGTGAGGATGAACCCGCCACCACAACGGCTTGTTTCACGCCAGACGGCAGCTACCAGATATTCTCGCAGTACGATCAATCGCTGGAGAAGCAATGCGTGCGTTGTATGCGCACCTTCCACGTCACCGAGTCAGGCGAGTACCTCAGCTACGAGAGCTGCACCTTCCATTGGGGCAAGCTGTACAACCTGTATACAGGCAGCAAAGGCTACACCACGCAGTACACCTGCTGTACAGGCACCAAGGAAACCGAGGGTTGCTCGCGCAATCCTTTGCACGTGTGGACCGGCGCTGTGGTCGGCATCAATGGTCCCTACACCGATTTTGTGCACACACACCCGCGTTGTGATGATAAATCTGACACGCCTAAGGTTTATGCGCTCGACTGTGAAATGTCTTTCACAGGCCGTGGTCTGGAAGTGACCAAAGTGACGGTGGTGGGCTACGATGGCCAGCTTATCTATGAGCATTTTGTGCGGCCGGAAGCTGAAATTGTCGATTACAATACACGTTTCTCCGGCATCACCGAAAAAGATCTCTGTACACACTCGAATAAGGACGTAAAGACGTTAGCCGAAGTGCAACGTGATCTGTTACAGCTAATCGACGCCGACACCATACTCATCGGCCATGGGCTGGACAATGATCTGCGCGTGCTGCGGATCGTGCATAAAACGATCATCGACACCTCAATCGCATTCCCACATTCAAGCGGCTTTCCATACCGCCGCGCGCTCAAGAACCTGACAAAGGCGTGTCTGAATCGCGACATTCAATGTGGCGATGCGGGGCACAGCAGTTTCGAGGACTCGCGTGCTTGTCTGGAGCTGATGTTGTGGAAAGTGCGGAAAGAAATGCGGCCGACGACGTACTGAGAAGTACCGACGCGGAGGCATTCGAGTACCGCCGCCGATTGGGTGGAAGCGAGGTGGGGAAGAGAACCTCGGCTTGTCAGCGGCGGTGTGTTGTGAGCGAATGCGAGTGTGGGAGAATGAGTTAGTGAGTAAGTGAGTGACTGAACGAGTGAGTGGGAGCGTGAACTAAGCACGCTGTGTGATTTTTTATACAAATATTGTAACTTTTGAGTAAGTGTCGTGAAATTTTTACAGATTGAACTTGTAACTAAAAATTTATTTTTTTTCTACAAGTATCTACTGTTTCGTTTATTACAAACTAATTACATTTGTGTAGGAGTATACATATGTACATACATCTTTGTATATACTCCTACATATGTATATAAGCGGGACTGGGCGACGCCGACTGCGCAGTACCCTCGTGGTAGAATCGCGTGTTCGTATACACGAAGTTGAAGGCGAAAATGAAGTGTAATTAATTTTCGCTTAATTTTCACCTTCAACTTCGTGTATACGAACACGCGACTTTACCCCGAGGGGTGCTGCGCAGTCGGCGTCGCTCAGGCCTGTATATAAGTTTAAAGTTGAGTAAACTTGCTGTGGAGCGAATGCTGACGCGCGCGCGCGTGTTATGCCCTTCGGGCGTTTTGTATGTAAGTACAAATATACGCTCGTGTGCAGTGCGTTCGTTCACGCTGTTGCGCCCATCTGAACTTGATTTGATACCGTACCAGAGAGGAGTAAGAAGTCGTTGTGTCGACAGAAAGCAATCTCTTTTTTTATTGAAAAGCTGCTGATGTTCAAACAAAAATGGAGCGGAATTTTTTAAAAAATGTACTGATTTATTGCTGTGATTTTTTGCGCGCGCTGTTCTCATTTTTATTTTCGCTTTTTTTTCTTCAGTTTTCCAAGTTCACACAATATGAAAGTTATTAAAAAAAATTTTAGAAATTTATTGTAATTTAACAAAAGGTCATAAGTAATTATTCAGAAGTAAAATAACATAATCGTTTCGTTCTAAAGTAGCACCGTTTTTTAGACGAAAATAAAAATTGGAAAAAATAAAATAATAAAATTTTAATTTTTTTTTTTTGTAAAATTTTTTGTAAAATTTCACTCCAGTTTTGCTAATTTACGTATATTTGTTGAGAACGAAAAATTTTATTTCAAAATTGTTTTCATGTTTAACGATTTACAACAACATTCTTAAGGAACAATGCGAATATTATTATATGTATTGCATCTCATAAAGTTTTTCTTTACTAAAATAAATGCACACCTGTACATAAAAGCTATCTAACAAATGTAGTTTCAATTTTACTTTGTTAATTCAAATATTTAACATTGTTAAAATGCATACGATTTTTTTTTTTTTTCATTACGTAGTTTTTCAGCATATTTTTATTTTTTTATTTATTGACGAAAACATCATTCATTTACCATTTGAACTTAATACTTTTTTGAAAAATTTGGCATGAAATGCCTATAATTCTAAAAACATACCTAAAAGCACAAAAAATATTTTTTTAGTTACATACATATTTGTAAGGTGGCAACCCATTTGTTGACCTCCCACCACTTCATTCAAGCCTAGTTTAGCATATTTTTAAGTTTAGCTATAAGTTCACTAGGTACGAAAAAAAAATAAAAAACAGCTTTTATTTTGTAAAGAAAAAATCTAGAAAATGCTATAATTTTTGGCACTATTGCGATAAATGTTGTATAGAATAATTGTAAAGATTTTCCTCAAAAGCTGCAACTGGTTGTTAAATTTCGCACGTGCTCGCCGCATTAGAAGGGCTGCCTTGTTTTCTAAAAAGCCAATTTCAGTTGATAAAGAAAAATGTTGTGAAAAAAAAATATTTGTACATACGCTGTTGCGCTGTTTGTAATTATATAATGCAAAAAAATTTTAAAGAAACAAGAAAACAAAACCCTAGAAAACGCAAAGAAACCCCCATTGTAAAATATGATGTTCCTAGTTTTTAAAAATACACATACATTTGTACATACCAAACAAACATAAAAATATGTGAAAATTTATAGCACAAACATGATTGCGAAGTTATCTTTAAACACAAAGAGCAGAAAAGAAATCATGAAAATATGAAATGAAAGGCATATTTTTTTTTTACTAATTTTTTTCTTGAAATGTTTTCGCACACATTTGTATTGCGCACATTTTAAAATTGCACTTTTGTAAAGGCAAACTGAAAAAAAACAACAACAGCAAAATAGTTGAATAAGCAACAAATAACAAAATATACAGTTCAACTTATCAGCAAAAAAAGGCGCCTTGGAAAAAAATCTAGGCGAAAAAATCAACCTAACGAACATAAAATGTCTACCAACACTTTTGTTGAGACGTTTTATGGGTGGAAAAAAAATAAAATTTGATTTATTTTTTACGATAATGTGACACAAAAACAAAACTATCTTTTTATTTGGTTGGGCGGGTTATGTAACGGAAGAGGACAAAAAAAAATGTAAAGAGGTTTGTTCAAGAAGTTTTATTTCAGTAATTAATGGTTCTAACTTAGGTACAGTGAAACATCTACTTGCAAATACCTTCGGTGAGCAGCGCCTTCCATAATCGGACACAACTCCCAGAACCAAGTTTCACATTGTGCTTTGAGACCAATTTGCCCTCCACTAACCGGACACTCTAATGACCGGAAGCGGATACTTGGTTATTGAGTTTTCTAGTTTCATCACCTCTTTTAAGCGGACACGGACCTCACAGAAATAGTCAAATAAAAATATAAATCAACAAAAATCTAAATAAAGATTTAAAAGAAAAAAAATCAAATAAACATACACGAAGGCCGAATCAGCCGACAGCATACATACGTTAGCTAGCATTGAGCTCACCGACGCTGTTTATGTCAAAGCACAGATTGAGAGTTCTGGGCAAATGGTTTAACTGAACTGGATCCCATATATGTACACTGGTACCCATATGGGTCAAAGATGGAGGCCAGAGCAGGAGAGGGTGCCTTTGGACTCGGCACCAAACTTTCAGTTGCAACGGGTTCTTGGTTCACGGTCTTTTAGGCCGAGGTGCTAGCAATCTCAATTTGTGCCAGGCTGAACCTTGAGAAGGATTGAAAAGCGCGTTTCTAGACATCTTTACAGTAGCCAGGTCATCATAAGGGCCCTATGCAAAAGGGCGATCACCTCCGGACTCATCAAGGACAGCTTTAACACCATTCATTTCTTGGCAGCAAAGAACACGGTATTACGATGCTGTGTACCAGGACACTGCGAGCCCATCGTCTGTACTTGTGGCCTGGAACCGTTTTGTGGACTTATTTGGTCCTCCTCGTGGCTCATAATCGAAGTGTGGTAAGCTAAGAACGCAGTAAGTACCGCGGAGAGATAGCGGGCCTTAGTTAGGCCGGAATTTTCGGTTATCCTTTTGCTAGGAATCTTTCCTAACACAATATCTTGAACAGAGTCAACATGAAGTTGCTTATTGGGTACACCTTCTTCTTCTTTATTGGCGCAGTAAACGCCTGAGCGATTTTAGTCGAATTCAAAACAGCACGCCAGTCGTTCCTTTTCTATGCCAACTGACGCCAATTGGAAATGCCAAGTGAAGCCAAGTCGTTCTCCGCCGAATCTTTCCAATGCAGAGGAGGTCTTCCTTTACTTTGTTATCAGCATCGCGACACGCGTTGAATACTTTCAGCGATGGAGCGTTTCCGTCCATTCGAAGGGCATAATCTATCCAGCAAAGCCGATGGATTTAACTTCACTGCACTATGTCTATATCGTTGTAAAGCTCATAAAGCTCATCGTTAATCGCTTCTAAAATTGCCCAATTAGTAACGAAGTGTAATGTAAAATAGTAAAACGCAAATAGTAAATGAAGTAGAGATGAAAAATACCTCAAAAAGGTATATATTTTCTATTTTTTCCACACTCTGAATTTACTACATTTACATAGGTATTGTATGTACATATCGCGCACGATCTTCAAAAAAGGCACAATAAAAAAAAATAAGTTCGATTTTTTGCGGAGGAGCTATTTCAATTAATGGAAATATATTTTTTCTTCATGATAATATTCTTTAAAGTTAAAGAAATCTACTAGAAATCTACTGTTATACCTGTTTGAGTTGAATATGTACGATCCACAAGCAGTTATATTTTCGGATCTAATTTTTCAGTTGTGTTTTAATTTCGTTCTTCAACTTTTCTGGAAAAAACTGGTAAAACTGTCAAACACACTGTATACGCAATTTTTTTGTTTACAAAGCTGCTTTTTATAATTTGACGATTTACTAAATTATACGGAAATACGCAGACAAATAAACAAAAATACTTACAAAACTCGACATTCCCCCGCTATAATATATTTATTAAGGTGAAATTGCAGATGTACTTTCATTTTTGTTTGTTCAACTTTCAATGCTTTGTCAACACTGAACAGCTCATGGTTTCGCACTTTATCGGGCTTTACCTGCAACAAATCTTCGGGTAAAATCTTGCAATTTCTGACAAAGAGATGACCTATATTAATCACCATTTTTCCCTTACTTTGCCAGAGTACCGTGTACGGGAACGCTCTCTGGTATATTCTTGCATCTTTTGGAAATTTAGGGAGCGCATATTTTTTTATTTCCGACGCTATTTTGTGTTCGGGAAAAACGTTGCATGTTTAATTACAACAAGGATAAAGGTTATCAACAGAGGGATGTTGAAAAAATATCGTTGCATCGAGAATATCGGTGTTTTGCTTCGATGCATCAAAAATGTTCCACTCGATATATAAATAGTCGATGAATCGATACATCGAAGTGAGGGTGACCATGTAATTTGCTAACCAAGCTCTTGATTGCAGTGTTTTTGTCCATCTCTCTCAAACAAATAAAGTTTCACAAATTAAGCTATTTCCTTTAGTACTTTAAATTTTTGAAAGCTCTTTTATAATCTTATCCCACCTTTTCTCTACATAAAATGAAATTACGTTTTAATTTATATATATCGAGAATTCATGCATCGAATGAAAAAGGACAACAGATCTGCAATCACGCGTTTTTCTAGAAAAAAACTTGAAAAATAAGGGAGAATTTTTTATAACTTAAAAATTTTAATTTTGATCGGGTTACATGGCTTCTCCATATCTCATTGTAGAAAAGTGCGCCAAGGGAGCTGTGGTTGGGGTAGGGTGGCGAATATGCTGGCAGTCTGATGTAATTGCAGTTTTTCTACATAGAAATTTTTTTCAATTTCTCCAAGGACATTTTTTTGCACAGTGGCGAACGAGTATTTCGGCGGTTCTGCTCTAAGAGCCGCAGAACCGAATCGCTCAAGCACAATATTTTGCTCGTATATGCCGATGCCATCGACTTCATCGGCCTCAACAAGCGTAATGTTTGTTCCAAGTTGGATATGGAAGCAAAGCGAATGGATAAGATTATAAGCGAGGACAAAGCAAAGTTTATTCAATCATAAAACAATTATTCAGTGCAATCCCGCCTCTCTACTCCCATCACTGTGCTACTTTGGACTAAACCGACAATTGAGATGTATATAATACACGCTGACTCATCGTGACTCTTCTATGTATTTAGCACAGAAGCATGCACAATGACAACATGCGATGAGATGGCCCTTGGAGTACTCTAGTGAATATTTGCTCGCCTCTGGCGTTGGCGACGCCAGCCCTTGAACTATTCAATGCGGTGTTCGCAGGAGGTAGCAAAGGAACAAGGAGGCCTCATATACCATGGAAAAATGTGGAGGAGAAGGAATTGACTTCATTTGGCATTTCCTAATAGTTTACTATGCCAAACTCGGCCAAATCACTTAAGTAATTTAGCGCCAATGACGAAGAAGAAGAACTGCCTTTTGGAGCTGATCGGCTATAACTCATTCATCGAAAAATAAGACCAAATGCAGGTAATGGAAACGAAAGTTAATTAAGCTAATTTTAGTTCGGCTCCAAATACTCCAGAATGGTCAAAGATTTTTTTTTTCACAATGAGGATCACTATTTTTATAACACAAGTACAACGCCGTTTTAAATACATAAGATCAAAAATGGAGCTTCAGAATGAACACTGCATTTTTTTTGCAAAATTAAAAAAAAGTTTATTGATTTCCTTAACATAAGTATTAATACGAGTATGCAAATTTGTATAGTATTTATTCGCCAATGTCACACTAACGGCAGCACGCCGTCGCGCTACAATACTTGTATTTACGATAGTCGTAATCGAAATTCGCAGTGTTCAAGTCTATTTGCTATATCGCACCAAATAGCGAAGATCCTCGCTAAAAGCACATGATCGTTTCGTTTGTGGCATTAAGTAATTAGCACAATTTGCGGAAGAAAAATACAAACACCAAATAAGCTCTTAGGAAAATAATAACAGCAGCACTACATGCATAATATAATTCTACAGTCGTATAAAGAAAGAGTAATACATACAGCATAAATTGCATGCCAAAAAAGCGCAACAATGACTTTTTACAATGAAATATAAGCTGCATTAGTTTTAATTAAAAAATTACGTTCGATTAAGGAGTGGAAAGATCAATCTGCTTCCGCGGATTCTATCGCGCCTTTTTTCTATTTTTTATATATATATGTACATTAGGGTATCTGATATATATAGATATATATATTATATATATATATATATATTTTTTTTTTTTTAATTCAACTGTTTCCTTTTGAGCCAAATTACATGTCGACTTTTTGTTGAAATTTTTGAAGGCTTTCACTGAAACACAGCGGTTTGTTTAACTTTCACATATCGATATTTCCTCAGCCACTAGATGGAGTTTCACTGATGAAAATGTATCAATTTTGCTACGGCATGGCATTGAATACCTACGTTTCGATGTAAACGTTTACCTCTCTAAACTTTTTCGCAGTTGTTAATAAAGTACAGAGCCTCAACAGCGCCCTAAAGTCAACATTTGGGTGAAATAAATACAAGGAAACTTTCTTGAAAATATACATTTACAATTGACGACCGGTTCTGAATTATGCTGCTTCAGTAAGCGTCCAAAAATGCAACGAAAGCTTTAACGTCGAAAAGCTGCAATCAAAACAGACGGCCAATGCTTTCGCTACTCGACTCTCACACCTGCTCTCCATTGTCACTCTTGAAGAAACCGACATATGCGAGCAGTTGAACCACATTTCTCTCTCATTCCAGCCGCCGAAAAAGTGGGCAGATTTCAGCGAGCCCGAAAGAACAATTGATACGATGAGGAGTGTCAAGAAGCTGCAGAGAAAAAGATGCCGCCTACAGAGCCACGCTGCGATCGGGCGCAAAGCGACCTATTGGGGCCGTTATAGCGAATTGAAAAAAAAAATTAGATGTATTTTCCGCAATAAAAAGAGAGAGGCCAAAATACGCGAGTTCAAAGAGCTTGAAATGCTGACCGCAGGAAAAACGCCCGCAAAATTTCA